GGGTAGACGACAGGCCGATTTCAGTGTACGACTCTTCCCCCAACCGGTCAGGTTGTACGTTGGTGCTGAATGTACCGCTAACCTTATCCATTTCATTGTGCGCATTTTCTACTTCACTTCCAAAATCCGGAAAGGACGTCGAGGTAAAAGTTGGCAGAATTTCAGAGGCCTGCCTGAATACCGTAGGTTCTATAAAGACGATTCAGGCTTATCACTCAGTTCTTCACAAAATGAACAATCCCGGTGCATCAGTGATGTCTCACTTCAACATCCTAATGGGTGCTTATTCGTTCAGGCAAAGGGACATACCACAGCAGAAACTGAGTAATTTACCTCTTGAACAGAAAAAAATGGAAAACCGATGGCCAAATTCTTTGAGGTGGGTCATGCACTTAGCTCTGCGTAGAAATTTTGAAGTATGTGCATGAGCGCTATGATAACAAGTTGGTCGAGGAAAGACTTAAAGGCAAAGTTCGGGCTCAGACCCACCTAAGAAGCCCTTACCATGGCTAGAAGTGCTGGGTACGCAAGTGCAAAGGTAGCGCCACCTTTCTACATCGAAACGCGTCACTAGGACCCTAGGCGCCATGGACTTCTAACAGACTCCACCAAACTTAACATGGTCCGCCCACCGTTCGATATCTTGTCTGCGTCGCCGTTGATCTGCTATGCTCTCTCTTCTCGGACTTCTCTACCACTCTCCGCGCTCACATTATCTCTCATCTCCCTGCCTGTCTTTTGAACTTCTCCACAGCATAGAGCAAAATGCTCGTATTTCCTGTGTATTTCAGGATTTTCTTTCCTTTTTTCTCCACTGGCGGTCCACCTCCCATCCCTACTTTCACATTTGAGTGGAATCACCCATCAATTTAATCCTGAATTCTTGCCTTTAAGCGAGTGGTTCTGTTCTCTCTAATAATTCTGAAAGCACCTAATCGATACAAGCGGAAAAAAAGAACAGATCAATCAGTTGACGTGAGCAAAACTCGACTTTGAGAAATGATTTAGCGCTTCTAAGTACTGCGGTATGCATTTTACTGCACTACGTAGACATTGAGAGTACATTTTACTCTGCTCTGCTTTATCCCCAATCTAAACTGCTTGAACTCACTGTTGTTGAGCTAAGACGATCTCCTGGAGAAGTGGTTGGTTAGACGTCACCTTGGTGAAGACCAAGCTGTCGAACACCTTGTCCAAGTCTGATAGCTGATGACCATAGGCAGTAGCGAGTTGTCACCCCTTTATCTGAATCTCAATTCATTCCAACTCATTTTAAGAAGTTCTTGACCAAAATTCGGCTCGATTATCCTACCAGTTCTCACGAATCCCCAGAAGACATAACTGGTGATGTCATTGTCAGGACCGTTGATTCCGTCAACCATAGCAGGCAAGTTTGCCCGAAAGTCCAAGAACTCTTGGTACATCGAATTTGTTAGTAGAAAGACAATCACCAAAGAACGTGAGCTCAAATCGACATCGTACTCAATAGCCGGACGAAAACCTCCTAAACAACGTATCAAAATCCTCGCAGTGAATTAGATGCATCTTTCTAGAACACTTACGTGTCTCGCAGTACTTCGAGTAGTACCCAGGTGCACAAACGCAACGGCTGCCGCTTACGAGACCAAAATTTTGGCACCTGAATCACTGTGTCATCCAATTTAGCAGCCTTTTGGAGCAATAGGAAGCAAATCCGATCATACTGACTTGATTGTCTCACAATGAGATCCTGACGAGTACGGGGAGCAGATGCACGTTTTGTTGGGTAACTGAGCGCTGTCACCAACGCAAACGTCGGTGTCCTTCACGGCCAAGTTCGAGACTGCAGCCCCTCGCGAGATGGCGACTTTTGTTTGAAGTGGTAGCGACTCTTGAAAAGACAAATTATTCTTTCAAGAATGCTGGGTTGGGATGCAAAACTTTCGCCGTAGACGGACTAGCGCACTTGCCCGGTAAGCGAGAGGTGCGGGTTCTAGTCCCGCCTGGGGCGAAAGTTTTGTTCACAACCCAGCATTCTTGTGAAACATTCGCAAGGCGAACTGCGGCCAAAAAACAGCAGTTAACAAACAAAACAAGTCAAAATTACCCTCCCTTTAACTCAATTTTGCTTTCTTAATAGCCATTTTAGGACAGATTTCAAACTGAGTGTAACACTCCCATTCAATATCCTGTGCCACATGAATAACCTACCTCTGAGTTTGAATATGCACAGTATTCACTACCGTAATCTACTCTCGCACAATATTCTACTACGGTACTAATCTCATGCTTGATTATAAGCCCAAATTGAGAGTCACTAAGATGAACACACTAACGACAGTGAGAGGTTGCGCGTCTCACCACTGTCATCCCTTTTTCAGCGTAAGGTT